AAATTACTGTCCATGAAATTCTACTTTCAGACCTGATTAAAACCATTCAATAAATTACTGTCCATGAAATTCTACTTTCAGAGTTGATGGAAACCATTCAATAAATTACTGTCCATGAAATTCTACTTTCAGAGTTGATGGAAACCATTCAATAAATTACTGTCCATGAAATTCTACTTTCAGAGTTGATGGAAACCATTCAATAAATTACTGTCCATGAAATTCTACTTTCAGAGTTGATGAAAACCATTCAATAAATATGATAGGTGGAGATTAGTATGATGGGAAACTGAGACTAACAATGTATTAAAACCTGAAACAGCATAAAACAAAATGTTACAGCAGTTAAAACTTTACCTGTCCTACTATGGAAGAGACATTTTAAATAATAACTTACCCAGTAACCAAATTTGATGGTAGAACAATATCCATTGTCGATACTCCACAAAGTCCAAAAGAGGTGTGAGGCAAGGGAAAAACATTGAACCTCTTTCAAGATCTGATCCTGCATTTGTATATTAATCGAAGAATCTCTAGTATAGCTTTTCATATATTCATGGATAAAATTTAGCTGGAAAAAAAACAAACACAAAATGACCAAGCAAGGAATGTTGTACTCACAGTAGATATGTCCTGTTTATAAAGCACAAAAAACAAACAAACAAGATTATCTAAAAGTATCAACTGACAAAGGCCTGATTTCAATATTTCAATAAAACTTTACCAATGAAATGTTGTTGATGAACACCACCTTGCACTCTAACTAGTCAGAGTCTGAATCAGATTGACGTTTGCAATTCACAGACATATCTTGAATACAAATACACATCTGATTTTTTGTGTACAACAGATTCTTACACTTCTTATAGTCAACATTCTTTCTCTACTACAGGGTTGGTCCAGTTCCGTGCACATCTGGTTGATAATATAACAGGTTCGACTATTAAGTTACTGATAATGGCATGACATCTTTACTCTGAACAGCACCTTTCATTTAGTTTCCAAGAGACCATCTAGTCTATCTAGACCATCCCAAGCACCTTTCAATTAATTTCCAAGAGACCATCTAGTCTGTCTAGACCATCCCAAGCTCCTTTCATTTAGTTTCCAAGAGACCATCTAGTCTGTCTACACCACCCCAAGCACCTTTCAATTAATTTCCAAGAGACCATCTAGTCTGTCTACATCATCCCAAGCTCCTTTCATTTAGTTTCCAAGAGACCATCTAGTCTGTCTATACCATCCCAAGAACCTTTCATTTAGTTTCCAAGAGACCATCTAGTCTGTCTAGACCATCCCAAGATCTTTTCATTTAGTTTCCAAGAGACCATCTAGTCTGTCTACACCACCCCAAGCACCTTTCAATTAATTTCCAAGAGACCATCTAGTCTGTCTACATCATCCCAAGCTCCTTTCATTTAGTTTCCAAGAGACCATCTAGTCTGTCTATACCATCCCAAGAACCTTTCATTTAGTTTCCAAGAGACCATCTAGTCTGTCTAGACCATCCCAAGATCTTTTCATTTAGTTTCCAAGAGACCATCTAGTCTGTCTAGACCATCC